TAGATCATGTTAATAAAAAAAAAATCAAAATAATTTAGTGAGTAATAATAAGATAAAGAATGGATACCCATATGTAGGACCTATATTAGTAGGTAAGTATTTTTTTTACCTTTATCTACTTTAATACTCTTTAGACATTTTTAATGAGTATTTATTAAGTCCGATAAAATGAATATTCATTTTATACCAATCCATTACCATTCATAACAATAATAAATCCTATTTTAGGGAACTATTGGGTTGGGCTTGAACAATGAAGCTCATCTCAAAGCTCGAATGATGTCCATTGAGGGCCCAAACTACCTTATAAATTATCATCTCTCTCAATCCCCAATTACACTCGCCATTTCTATTTTAATGAACTTTAACCGTCGCTTCGGGCCATACGGACCCAAAACCACCGCTTCAAAGCCCTCAAATCCCTCACGGAATCGAGCAAACTCGACCAAGTAATCCGTTACATCGAATCTCACCAACCAAGCTTACATGTATTCTTCTCTTAGGTTCTTGTATTGTATTTTTTTTTTTAAAAAAAAATATTATATACTTAATGAACAATTTTTTTTTTTATTACTTTTTCAGTTTTTAATTTTTTTTATTCTATTTTTTTTTCTATAATTTTATTAACTTGATATTAATATGGTCATTGTAAAGTTAGATAATTAAGTTGGATTTCATTCAAAAGGTTTAAACTTTATGTTGAGTGATCCTTTCACAACTTATATATATATATATGTCAAAAAGATTTAACGATCTAGCAAATATCTTGAAATTCAAATCATTTGAGAGACCCTAAAAAATAGATTGTAAGTAAAAATAGTATTAGAATACATATTCTATATATATATATATATATGTGTGTGTGTGTGTGTGTTTGGAGGTCTTAAACATTTAGTGAGAGAATACATTTCTTTTTTTCACTAAAATATTTGTGATTCAATTTCGTATCAAGCTTTCTTTACAAAACTTTTGAAGGTTTCAAGTTTATTTAAATGACCGCAATATAAACGAGGCCAAAGATGTTCTATTCTCGCTTGAATGATCACCTAATAGTTCTAACCTACAACTCGTGAAGTCTCACCTGCAAGTCTTATACATTATATTTATAGTATTCTTTTGGTTACTTGCATTGCATATATTAACATGCAACTCGGCTCAAATGTCAAAATTTCAACTTTTCTCTTGATTGATAAACATCCAACATTAAACAAATCTATGTTAAGAAAAGTTGTGTCATATGGATTAAGATTCAACAAAGCAAATATGAAGGATACAACTTCGGAGATAAGACAAAAGAGATCTACAAATACCCGTACATTTTGATTCCTTATCATTTATTTTGATTGAAAAAAAAAAAAAAAAGAGAGAAGAAAAAGTACCACTAGGGTTATTATTTTCTTGTTCATAATTTTGAAGTAGCAGCTTTTCCAGATGATGATCTAGCTTCACGAAGATGTTTCTCCCTTGAGGGTTTTCATGTTCATAATTTTGAAGTAGCAGCCTCTCCAGATGATGATCTAGCTTCACAAAGATGCTTCTCCCTTGAGAGCAATTTAGCCAACCTACAAAAATCAAACAACAACAACAATAAATTAGATAAACAAATAAATAACAACAAGATCATGAAAAAATACTGTTGGAATATTTGCTACTATATATGGACATGTGTAAAGATATATTTACTTTATGAGAGCCTCTTCATTTGTCATCTTATACTTAATAGGTTCAAAGACCCCAGTGTTTAAGTTCACTCTTGATACTGGTTTCTTCAACAATTCCTCACCCACTTTCACAAGATTCTCCAAATTCTCTTTTGTTGCAACATCCACAGATGAAAGTTTTCCAGTCAATGTATCATCCTGCATATAATAATGTCAGATCATGTCTTCTTTAGTATAATTAGGACGTATATAACAACGACAGAGAATGATATGCACCTGAATTCGAAGATAATTTTCCTCCGACTGAAGGGCTTGGAAAACAGTGCAAATATGGAAATCAACCATATCAGCACTAGCTTGTGTAAACACATCCACTAATGGAGTAGAGTGATCACTATTCAACCATCCTAAAATACCCCACTTAGCCGCTTGTTCTGCATTATACTTTTCTTCTGATTTTTCTGCACCGGTCCCTAATGACAGGACTAGAAATCGGCCATGGTCCTTTGGATAGGAATCAGGACTCTGTCGATTGATTTCTTTTGAAACTTCACTTATGGCAACTAAAGTCTGTTAACAATCCAAAAAGAAATAAAGAATAATTAAGATTCTTTTGTTGCACCAGTTGAAGAGGCTGAAGATAAATAAATATTCAAAAACATACTGGATTATTTGCTGCCACACCACCATCAATAAGATTGTATTTTCTAACTTTTCCTGACGGATATTTGGTTTCAAAATAATGGGCAGGGAGATACGTTGGGGCAGCTGAAGTTCCAATGCATATATCGGATAAAAGAGCATCCGTGGATGGGCTATTCTTCACCTGATAGCTAGAAAAGATTGTTGGCTGGAGGAGCTTGATGTCAAAAGTTGGGATCACAATATTAGTCAAGGTCTGGTGCAAGCGTGTATCTCCCAACTTTTCCTTGACAATGCTATGCAAGAATTTTCCATCATATTTTGGTCCCTTCAAAGTCTTCACCAAATTTGCAGCAGAATCAAATGGAGATCTATTGCAAAAGACTGCTTAATTAGTAACTTGGCAAATCAAGGAGAAGCAGCAGTTTGATTACAATAATTAATCATCAGAATTATTACCCGTCTTGAGGAAAGATTTTGGGGCAGTTCTCAAGGTAGAAGTTATTGATATCTTTGGCAGCAAACAAAGGACGGTTTTGCTTGTTTGGCGCAGTTAGCATAGCAGTCACGAGACCACCCGTGCTAGTCCCAGAAATCACATCAAAGTAATCTGCAAGCCTTGCATCTGCACCATCCAGCTTCTACAAAAATATTGAATAGCAAAACAACTACTTGGTGATAAAACTACGTATTTTAAATGTGTATGAGAAAAAAGTTACTAAAACTAATGCACCTAAAACTTTATCAAACTTACGTCATGCAGTCGACTGTGTGATATATAATTTAAAAGTTGATTAGTAGTTAATTTCTTATTCTGTTTCACATCATAAATCATTATAAGCACACACACATAAAAATATGATCTTGCATGTCTCTTTAGAATGCAATTTACGTACTAAAAGAGACCAGTTCTTCCCTACCTGAAGAACAAACTCTAAAAAGGCAAGGATAGTCCCTGGTATAATGCCTCTTATTCCACCCCCATCAATGCTAAGAATAGTGATCATTTTGTTTCCATAAGTTGGAGGTTTAAGGGGTGATCTTGGAGCTTCCATATGAGAGATATTGAAACACAAAATGCTAAAAATATAATGTGGAAATTAAGGGGCCTAGAAGTGGAAGAGTTAGGGAGGTTTAGCTTCAGATTTCTGAGAGCTTTGAGAGATAGCTAGTACTGAAATCTAGTCAGTTTTTAAAAGCTTGCAATATCCCAAAGAGGAGGTGGAGGTATTTATAGACTTCTAGTCATGAAGTATGGAATTTTAAATAAATCGCAACATTTTACTCTCCCTAATTTGACCCTTTTGAAGTTTCTTGGATGGGGAGCGATTTTTAATGGGTCCAAATTTTCTCTATTTATCACAAACACAGTTCTTAGCTGACACAGTTTAAGTTGGAGCACATACAAATTGGTTCCAACGGATTTGAAGGATGGCCAAATATGAGAATGGTTGGATTTTTAGCTGGCACAAAGTTAATGAAACTGTACTTCAGATTTGAACAAGTTATGTTACCACTCAATTAGTTGAAAGACTAATAAATGCTGAAAGTCTTTAATTAATGCATATGTACTTTAGATTTGAGCAAGTTGTATTTTCTCTAAAATGAGGGTCTTCCAATGACCAATAAGATAGGTTAACTTTTATCATTCATTTGGTTCATGTAATTATAAAGGGAATTACGAGGTGACAAGCAATCGATTGCGAAGAATTAACAATTACTATTAGCATCAGCTGGGCTTTTGCACAAGTTTGCAACAAAAGCAGAGACGACTTCATGATTGAAAAGGTCAATGAGGCAAATTTATATTTTCAGCGTCTTCATTCACCATAATATTGGAGAAGAATTCATAGATACATATTATCATTTAATGCAGCATAAAATTTGAAGAAATACATTGAAGTTTTGCCATATATATATAAGGATAATATGCTTAATATAAAAGCAGAATGAATGACCTTAGAATAATAGTAAGAAAAACATAGATTCTGGTAACCAGCTGTAATTGTTAAGATATATATAATATTACTGTTATGTGAAAGGCACTTATATATTTTTTAAATTTACGGTATATAGAATTAAATAGTTAAGATTGGATTAATTCTATCCTAAAAACTTCTTTTCTCAACCTTATATATTAATCATTTTTTGTTTAACTATTCACTATGAGGTATGTTCCGTAACACTCTCCTTCATTTGCAGCTCATCCGTCAAGTGGTTTGTACTTCGAATCTTTGCTAGGCTATTAGTAGAGGTGAGCAAATGGTTCGGTTAACCAAAAATCGAATCGAACCAAACCAAATTATGTATTTTGATTCGGTTTTAAACTTAAATTTATAAAATTAAAAACAAAATAGAAAAATTGAAATTATTTCGATTGGGTATTTGAAAAAAAAATTAGTTTCCACTAAAAATAAAAAAATAAAAAGTAAAAAAAAAATTCATAAATACTAACTCCCTAAAACCCTAACTCGGTTAACTTCACTAAATCAAAATCAATTTTCAACCACTCTTCCCCGTCTCCCGATCCTTCATTCCTTCTTCTCCAGCTTCTCCTTCATCATTAGGCTTTCTACCTCAACAAGATAGCAACTACAACACAATCAACACCCACCACTCTCTCTCTAGCTCTTTATCCTCCTCCAATTTCATTAGTCACCACCCACCTCTCTCGTCATCTTCTTCGATCTCACAATCATGGTCATCACTCATCGATCACCACCCAATCACCCACCACCCTCCTCCTCATCCTACAATTATGTGGAGCACCCTATCATTGAGTGGATTGCTGAAATAAATCCGCCAACATCCCGAGTCGTAGTGAGGATGGGTATTCCTCTTTGGCAAATTTCGGATATGACACTAAAGGATCCATAAGTTCAACAAGGCATTTTCCTTTAACAATTAAATATATGTTCATTGGTATTGTTCTTTACACTTCTTATTTGATTAGAGATAAGATGATTTTATGGAATGGAACGTGGTGGAGGTTATGATGCATGGAGGAAAACTTCATTGTTTGCCACCCCTTTTGATTTTGACAAGGCAGAGTCCATAAAGCCGAAAGGTCATTGTGTAGCCGTGCGTGTGACGAGTGAGGATCCGGGTGATGGGTTTAAGCCTACAAGTGAAAAAGTACAAGTAAGTCTCTTGGGTTCTTCACCAATCATACCCGAAGCTCATTAATTTGGTATACACCCATATTGAGTTACATGGTCTTGTAAAAGGAACTAAGTTTTAAAAGCAAGCAAATGTGTGGGCTTACTTCTCTATTAAGGTACTTTTTATTATCTCGTCTTTTGATTTTCTTAAAATAATTATGTTGATAGAACCTTGGTTTTTCTAACTTTAGTGGTTTGAATTATCATCCGTAGTCCGGAGGAGTCATTCATGAATTCTAAGATTTTCAATTTGGTAAGCATCGGCTATCAATTAAAAAAATTAAATAAAGTAGATGCAAGTTGATGAGTAATCGTAATCAATTTTCTTTTGCAAGTTAAGTTGTTTCTTTGTAAGAAAATCAAATGAAATTGACTTGCTCGTTGCAAGATGGTTTTAGGTCTTTGGGAGCTTGTATGTTGAAAACTAAAAGAAAACAGTTTTAATTTCTTTTCTATTGCACATAATTGCTAATGAAAATTTTCCGGATAACATTTTTGAGTTGGAATGATGATTGTAAAATTATTGGGGATGCTATACATATTAGTAACCTTTAACTTGCTTTGTATATCTTATTATGATAATGATTGATGTTAGAAAATTATAATCTTCAATAGTAACTATTTTCCATCAATTCAATCTAACATTCTGTTTCCTACAATTCATTCTCAATGGAATAAAAGCCATTGGGAATTTCCATAATTTATGAAAATTCCCAATGGCTTCTCAAGCAAGATCAGCAAGGAGATCACAAAGGTCAAATTAAGAACCAGGATGTTGCCTTTATAGACTTTCTTGGTGTGGGAATATCTTAATTATGGAAGATATTGTTTAAGCTTCAGCTTTATCATCATGATGAGCATAATCTTGGGCATCGTCTTCCAATTTTTCCAATTAAAACAATGTTAGTTAGATGTTTGGTTCATATATATTTACTAAAAGGAGGAAGACAACTACATTTTGTTTTTATCTCTCATTTAGGACTTTCAATGTGTCAATTGTAATTAGGTAGCTGCAAAAGATATTTCCTATGTAAGGGCTTTGTTTTCTTACCGTTATTTTTTTTTAATCCGAGTAAATAGTGAAAATGGTGGCTCGGGACGGACAATGAAACAATGGTCTAGAATTTTTTTTTCAACAAAATATTTACGTTAAAAAAGTGAAATATTTTGAAATCGAACATAAATAATTTAATTATTAATCGAATTTACTGAATTTATTTCAGTTCGGTTTCGGTTTTTATTTTCCTTAATTCAATTAACCAAAAATCGAACCGAATCGTACAAAACTAAACCGTTTAATCGTTTGCGTACCCTTAGTCGTTAGGCCTCTTTAAGATTTTGATACGAGTATAAAATTAGATAGTTGAGATTAGATTTCATTCAAAAGATTTAAATCTTGTAGTAGGTGGCCCCTTCTCAATCTTATATATTAATCATCTTTGATTTAACTATTCAATATGGAATATGTGCTCTAACACGACAAAATGTATTTTTCAGATTAATTTATGATAAATATTTATTCTTCACATTAATTTGGTATATTTAGGTCATTAAATTTAAGTCTAATTCGTAACTACAAGTATGTTTTAGTCCAGATTGAGTACACGTCCAGAAATGAATTAAAGACAACAAATCCATGAAATATAAAATTGTAGGGACCGTAAATTGATCAAATATTGTAACTTTTCAAAATATCGTCACCTCTTTTACCTTCCGATGAGGTTTTATGAAAGGTGCTGTCACAATCCATGCTTCATTTTATTTGTGTCCATTTGAACATCTTATAAAAGTCTATATACACCATGCCAAAAATTGCTTTCAATGGATCGAATAATATAATATCAAGAAAAGTCTGATTATATTTTCTTAATGTATGGTATCTCGGTCTCTTCGGCCTTAGCCGCCTTAACATAATTTTTATTTCTTAATATTTATAGATAATGAAGTGTTCTCAAATCAACTTTTATATTAATCGAAATTAAATTTATCATTTTTTAAGTTAAGTTAATGTCGGACTATGTCTAACTTTTGATCGATTTTAAGAGTTGAACTCTTTTAACCCACCATTTAACCCATTTCTAGTTCTCCACAAAGAAAAGGATGATCAAGACTGGTAGGGCCTAATTGACCTTTGAATTGGAGTAGTATCCTAGGTTTACTTGAGTTACCAACTAAATGAGATTCCAACTACTTCTTTTACCATTTTGGCCATTGTAATAATTGGTTCATCGTTGAGCAAACTGAGCAGTAATCTAAGAGTCATCGTCTTTTATCTGTTTGCCTTTTTTTTCTTTTTTGTATAATTTCTTTGTATCATAAAGGTCCTAGAATGAGATAAAAGTATCTCGAACTTGAATTGTAGTTGTTAGTTCTCTCAACTCGTCATCAAAGCTACTTAGAGTATGAAAAATAATTTCAGCATCACTCAAGAAATGGCTAATGAAAGCAAATCATCAAAAATACTTTTAATTCTAGTCATATAGATGGCCATTGATTTGTCATCCTTTTTGTAAGATATAAGGGTGGAAAAGAGAAAAACATATGAGTGTTTGAATGACTGGCATAACTATTATGTAGCTTTTTCCATCCTTTGTGGAGTTGCTACAATTGTTGATGTTGGGGCTTATTGTACTATAGATAGTAGCTTCCCAATAGTTCTAGACATTCCTCACTGAGCCAAAAAAGGTAGATTGGATCGGTGTTCAGTGGACAAGGTAAAGTGTCATCAACATACTTGAGCAAGTCGTAGCCATATAGAAGACTAGTCATTTGGGACTTCCATGAAGCAATGTTTTATCCACCTTTTGAGAGTTTAAGAGGAATATGATATGAAGCATTGAAGGAAATTAGATTTTCATTGGAGGGAATAACGTTACCTTGGATTAATAGGTTTGTAGAATTGAGAGGTGCTGCGGAATCTTTCGAATTTGTAGCTGAGTTGGTGGGTGAGGTTGAATCGGCTATTATTTTGGGCAACGAAGGTGGAAGAGGACGGTTGGTTTGAAGAGGTTTTGGGAGTAAATTTCTTTATTTCACTATAAGAAAATAGGTAGTTAGTAATGGAATTTAGTGATAGATTGTTATTCATTGCTAATTAGCTATAGAATAGTGTTCGAATGGGAACAAAATTAAAAATGCAACAATTTGTGATAGACCTACGATGGATTTGCTACGAACAATTAGCGATGGAAATAATTCCATTGCTAAAGCATGCAATAAAAATTCATGCTAATTTGAACGGTGAAATTACGATATATTAGATAGGGAATTTAGCGACAGAATATCATTTCCATCACTAAAAACCATTGTTAGATCAGCGATAGATTATATTTATCGCTAGTTTATTTATTCTATCGCTAATTAGCAACAGAAAGTATTCTGCCACTAATTTTTAAAATTTTTGAAAAGTTCAAAAAATTGGACACTCGTTTAAAATTCAAATTAGCAATGAACACTTATGTCTATTACTAAATAATGATAGAATCACATCCGTCGCTAATTTTAAATCCCTAAAACTCCCAATGCCTTTTTTTTTTTTCCAAAATTTCCCCCTTTCCCCCTCCTCCTCATCCCCTCCTCTCCTGCCACCACTCCCAGCAACCCCAACCACTGCCCCACGCCACTCTACTCCCTCCCCAGGCCACTTATTCCAATGAGGCACTCATCTCTCCCAAAAACCATGCTGAAACTACTGCAACAGTCTCTCCTCTCTCTCCTCTCCTTTGGTTAGTTCTCTCCTTTGTACGTGGGTAATACATATAAAGTAGAAGTTGGAGCCACATGTATGCATTTGCAAGGAAAAAGGTCGTGCATCCCCATATACCATTAATAGCTAATCAGATGAATTGGTTATAAGTTGACCCTTGGATTGTTCTATAAAATATCTATTTCTGAATTGCTAGGAAGTGGAGTGATGCTAAAGTTTCTAGCTTTAGTTCTATGGTTTTATTTGGTCCATCGTATCTCTCAAATAATATTTGAACAATAAGCTAGCATCATAGTGTTGACTAGCCCATTATATATAGAACACTCTCTCAACCGATCTTCAGATGCTTCATCGTAATGCTTAACAATGACTATTGTTTGGTGCAGAGATGGTTATAATGACTTCAACACCTTCTACCGTTCTACGTGCAAGTAAGTAGTTTAATTAGTCATGCTGGCAACCATAGGCAAACAGTTATTGAGTTGTCTATGGCTTGAATCAATTCTTTAATTTTAGAATCTATAATCCATTTGCCTTTTCTGATTGGTTTAACAATATTGTCTTTTAAAGATAAAGTCTGAACTGGTTTGGGTTTTATTTAATGGTTTATACTGCCCTAGTTTGTCATTTCCCTTTCTCCTTAACTTAAAGTTGTAAGGAAGATTTTTTCAGTGGTTACAGGTACCCGAAAGTTCCATATCTTGAGACATCCATTTTTATTTTTATTTTATTTTTTGTTTTTTTTTCGTTTGACCTCTATACATAAAAAGGGCAAAATTAAAACATATGCAGTATCCATGTATTATTGTGGAGAAAAAAATGCAATACGCCAGATAATTCATACGTGACACTACTGATGTCGAACTCAGTGTGAGCTTGTTAGCTACTTCAACGAATACCATGCCACTTTACTAATGCCAGCTTAGTTCTTACCCTAAGATCCTCATACAAGGTTATGAATACGAGGGATACAAGCCTAAATCTCAAGAGTACCAGATTCGAAACAGTAAATTGGTTCTTTAAGTGCAATAAAACATTTCCAAACAGGTCGTTTATTATACTGTTCTTTAATATTGTTTGACTTCACTTTCACGCAGCATCTGGAACTAAGGGTGGTTCTAGTGCCTCCCCAGTGATTGATAGACAAGTTAGAGGAGTGGCCTTGAATGCTGGGGGCAATTCATCATCTTCATCAGCCTTCTACTTACCTTTAGAGCGAGTATGTTATTATTTAATGGCGTATTCATTATGATCTGTATAAGGTCTTATCTAAAATGGATGATAACTCTTGCAGTAGAGTGTTTAATGTAAATTCAAGGCATACATTCTTAGCTACTTAGGTGTTTGGTTTTCAATATATGAGGCCTTTAATTTTACCTAAGCACCTGCTTTTGAACAAATGTATCTGTTTCCTGTGCACTGAACATAAGATACTAGATATATATGCAGGTTGTTAGGACATTGACATTTCTTCAGAAATCCAGAGATGCCTGTAAAAACAAATGGGAAGCAGTTTCTATACCTCGTGGCACACTTCAGGTCTGTAGTTGATGTTACTTCATTCCATGCTTATTGGAAGGCTTCAAGTATTATGCTGGCTTTGTGCTGGAACACGGATGGAAATTTTGCAGCTGACATTAAGCCAGATTCCTTTTAATGCTAACTGTGTGGATATCTTTATTTGGCAGCGCCACCGTTATTTGTTAGAAGATGACAACATTATTCCCCTTGCTCCCTGGTCCTTCATTCTGTTTTCTCAAATAATTGTAAGCTAATGTGCTAAAAAATCTTGAAAATAGTTTTCGATCAAAATGGTTTGGTCCGCTACAATGACAATAAATCTATCATACCACTTTTTGGTTTTAGCAATATAGATACTTCGCTTGTTTTATACTATTTGTGTGTTGATTTACAGTATGGATTTTCTGTTCCTTATAATTTTACGTGAGTATAGCTATCAATGATATAGGCAACATTTTGCCATAAAGGATTTGACGAGACACGTCGGCTTGGCCTTCAGAATAAAACAGAGCAGGTATTTCCTCCGCATTCATAATTGTTAAGAATCATGGTTAGTGGTTCATTCTGCTATGTCTTGTTTAGCTGGTACGACAAGCCTCTGCCCTAGGTGAAACTGGAATTCTCGTTGTTCACTCTGTGGTGTGCACATTTTTGTGTTTTCAAATTGAACTCTGTTAAAGAACTATCTTTATCATTTCTAAGATCATATACTTCTTCAGGTTCCATGTGGGCCAGTTGATGGGCAATTGGAGCCAGGGGATGCGCTTGTGCATGTGAATGGGGAAGCAAGTTATGCCTTCAATCACGTACCACCGATTCCTGATTCATTGTAATGAATGATCTTGATTCGTTGCATGTAAATCACTACATTGATTTTATAGCTGACTTGCCATTTTATATAAAAGAACTTGCTACTCTTTTCTTTTCTTTTCTTTCTTTTATATACATTTTTTCCCCGTATGTCCTCTTCTTTCCTTCTCCAGATGCGGGATTTATATTTTGCTTCTTTTTTTTTTTTGTTCTAACACAATTGTCTATGCATGAAAATCAGCGTTCTCTACCATACATTTACCTTGTTAACGTTCAGAGGCTGCGTTCATTTATCATTTCTTGTGGTCAGGACAACTTTCTAATGCTTGGGAATTGCTCCTCACACAGTAGGTTAAACCACAGGTAGCATCTTGGTTAGTTGATTTACTTACGTGCCAAAACTCCTGATTATGTTTGATGAATTAAATGAAATTGCATTGATGAATTAAATTTGAGAATATTGATGGTGGAAGTTTTGGCCAAAATATATAGTGATTTTGGAGGAAAATATTAACTTCCATGATTTTGTGATTTTTAGATGCGTTAGGCATGTTTAAGGGTGTTTGAATAAAAAATCTTGGTTGATTACCTTTGTTGATCATTTTGGCCATAATCCTTGAATTAGAATAATGGAGTTGACAGGTATAATTAGGATTAATTGGTTTGATTTTGTGTTCATATGTTGCATTGAAGGAGATTAATATGTTTAAGAGGAAAATTGGTGTTGATTGCTTTGTCTTAATGTTTTGGCTAAAAACCCTAATTTGGAAATGATTAAATTAATTGTTGTTTAATATTGTTTTAATCTTAAATTAAAGGAATGAATTAATATAGAAATGAGTATTTAATAGAAAAATTCTTTTTGATTTGATGATGTGCATGTTTCCACTAAGATCGGTAGCTAGGACAATTTGTCTAATTCCATGAATTTATGTTAGATTGATGCGTGTTATGCTGCTAAAGGATGAATACATATATGATTTATGATTAAATTGTGCTTGGTTAATGAAATGGAACTCTTTGATTTATTCGGCTAGTACTTAATTTTGTGATCAATGTTGTTTGATGTATCTAATGTTAAATTTATGCATTCTTGATTTGTTTGGAACATGTTTATGCCTAAAAGGTTATTATTCAATGACTCTTAATTTATTAAGCATGCATATTCATGAAAAAATGATTAATGTTATGCATTTTATTTGAATGCATATTTATATCATTATCATGAAAATGGATTTTCTTTTTTGATTTTGATGAAAAGGAAAAGAAAAAGGCATGTTTTTGAAGAAAATGGCTAGGTACCTTCAAAAGGTTTGCAAGAGGAACGATCACCCTCTTGTAAGGAAAAGGAAAAATAAATGGTAAGGAAAAATGAAAAAGGAACTTACCTAGAGCTTTTGTGAGTTTTCATAAATATATGTTTTAAAATAAGATCGATTATATACACAATCAGCAAGGTGCTCTCGAGAAGAAAAATGAATTTCAAAAGATATGAAATTGGATATTTAATGTAGATGTGCATTATATGCATAGACTACATTTATCGAGCATTAGCTCACCTTTTTATTCTTGTGGTGTAGGTGAAAAAGGTTCAAAATAATAGCATGTATTTAGTCCTAGGGTGATCTTGAATTTGTGGAGTTTACTGAGCATGGATGACAATTTGTTCAAGTGATCTCGAATTGGTCCTATCGTTTGTGTCTTGGAGTAATTTAGGTCACTCGTAGATTCAATTATGTTTTAATTGTACCCCTGAATTTGTCATTGTAGTCTCCGTATTTTTAATTTCTTTAATTGGATCCCGTATCTTGTCATTTTAGTCCCAAGGTCTTCATTTGCTTTGATTGTATCCTCAATTGTTTTAATTTCAATTATATTTTGTTCAATCACATCCACGATATATATATATTTTTTGTATTTTTATTCTTTTTCCTTTTTTTTTTACTGAATTTCAAAACGAAAATAAAATGAAATTAAAAATAAATAAAAAGAAAAAAATAAAACAAATAGCGAAGAGTGGATAATACAAAAGTAAATGTGAAAATAAGAAATAGAATAAAAAAATAAAAAAAGATAAGAAACTTGAGGAAAAATATTATATTATGATAGTTGCCCTCTTCTTTGTTAAAGTTTATGAAGTAAACGTTAGCTACACTGAGAATTTTTTAATTGAGTTTGCTTAGTGAGTCTGTAAAAAGAAAGTAAATTGAGTGACTAAAATGATTTGATTGTTCATGCATTCTCATTATTATATGACTAATTAAAAAAAACCATTTAAATTAAAAATTTTAAATTTTTAGAATAGATTCATTTTAGTCGCTCACATGGTTATGGTCAGAATATTGGTAAGAAAATGATTTCACGCTAGCTGTCCATGCTTCCCCAGGAAATCGGCCTAATAAGATTCAATTCAGCTACAACATCTGCTAATATTCGTCCTCTCTGTTGGAAATTTGTCAGAACACAAAAGTCTTACCTCCTTAATTGAAATCAAATATTTCAGGAATTGGTCAGAGCCTGTCATTTCATGATTAATTTCACATAGAAATATTGGATCCGCAACTTCTACTCTAGGGGGCCATGCTGCAACTTCGAGGAAAGTATCTCCTACCAATGACTATTGAATTGCTAAAGTCTAAGTTAAATGCCTTTACTCATACGTAATTTCCAAATCAACGCACTTCATTTTCACTTGTATGTGTATATATATCACACCAGCTAGCTAGCCAGCTAACCTACTCCATCTTTACCACCACCTATCTCGCAAACCAAATAGCTCTCAGCATTTTATTCTCTAAGAGTCTAATCATTTTTTTTTCGTGTCAAAAAATGGGGTCTCAAATAAAGAATCGATACTGGACAATAATACTCTTTGTTACCACTATTTTTCTATCATGTTCCAACCTAATCTTGATGGCGAAGGCATTGGCTCCATGCAAATATGACCCCAAAGATCCTGACTGCACAGTCGGCGAACCAACAACTCAAAGATTTGACGCAGGTGGAGCTAGGGGAGGTGGTTTGACCTAATCATATGATTATTGAGTAATCGTTTATCCTTATATTAGGGTGGAAGTCAAGGCTACGTAGTGTCACTTTTTTATCCATGATTTGAGGCATGGTAATTATTGTCCTTTGCTAGTTTAGATTACTTATTTTGGCCCTCTTTTTTTTTTCTTTTTTTTTTTTTTTTGATATTTGTACTCATTCGTCACCTTGCTTTGTTTTGTTAGTGTTGTGCTATTAATATAGTTTATTAACTTATAAAAAATAATAAATCAATAAATAATTGAGAAGTCGGCATATTTCAATGGTTCATTGTTAATATCTTCATACAAATCATAGGAATTGAGTTTCTAAATTTTTAAGTAGATACGAAGAGGCCAATCTATTTGTTGTGTATTTCAGTTTTGAGCATCACAAAATACATACATATAGAAAAATAGAAGAACAAAAGAGTAGGAAAGAGGAACGAATTTTTTTTCATTTTTTCCACATAGCTTATAAAGATAACCCTCTCACGTGAGAGGCTCGTAAAATAAATTGGACTACTTTTTAAAAAAAATTAAAAATATATATGGGTTTGAAATTCTAAATCTAAAAAGTTTTAAAACAAATTTTGTGCTAATCATATTATTATTATTATTATTGTTATGAACTATCACTATATTATTCAACGGTTATCCATTATATTGTGAATTTGATTTAAATCCATGCTAGCTATTAATTTTGATGCCTCCTATTGTTGTTGCCCATTAAACATGATATATTTTATTTCTAGTGAGTATTATATATTATAGAAAAAATTATAGATATAAAAAAGATTAAAAATATTCATTAACAAACAAACTAAAAGAATAAGACTTTTTGCTATTCACTTATATTGTTCGTTCACACTTAGTTGCACTATTCACTTATTGTACATGTCATTTCTTTCTATTTTATTTTTACCACATCGCAAAGTTAGATACATGAAATTAAAATGGCCAAGGATACAACCATAATAATTTTCTCAAACTAACAAAATATGCTTTCATAATCAAAATGACACCAAGATCCATAAGTCAAAAAAAAAAAATAATAATAATCAATACAATTAACTCTCGGTTCGCTCCCTCGGCCTATGGATATCCTTTCAATTGGTCTAATGCATGTAGAAGGACCCACTAGGATCAAGGGCAAAGCTTCATTTTTGACCAATAAGCAATACCTCCACAATAAATGTTGCTGATGCTTAACTATCGCCAGCCTCTACCCTACTTTATACGCTTCTACTCTGCTCGTTAATTCACCCCACACCATACCTATAAAAAAATCCCACATCATCATCGGTGGGGAACCAACAATTTGAAAAATATATAAAAACAATAACAAACAAGGGAGATGAGGTCGATTCTAAAAAAAAAAAAATTTAAGAAAAAAAAAGAAACTACAAAAAAAAAAAAAAATTGGAAAAAAAAAACACAAGAGGAAGAAATGATTTACCTATTTAATTGGAGTAGCGAGTACCTCTCACCATCACCCTCAATTCGAATTCCTCTACGTAAACTAATCATATCAATGTAATTTTTCTTTGGATTTAGGGTTTTAGATAGTTTAGGGTTTTAGAATTTGGAAATTTTTGAGTTTGGATTGAAACTAAGTTTGAATGATTGAAAGAAAGACTAATTAAAGGTATTTGGATTGTCAATTTAAGGATTAAATCTCAAATTTGGACTGAATTGAACTAGGTTGAAACCCGGGGTTTTTGGATTTTTTTAACAATAATAAAATTTAGGGATTTTCAAGAAATTGGGTTCTAAGAGGCTTGAATTGGCTTGTTATTAGGAGAAATATAGGTAACTAAGGCTAATTGAAAAAAAAAAATTGAAACCTAGGATTCGATCAATTTTAGGTAAAGGATTGATTGGGCTTTTTTGATTCTTATGAAGAATCAATAGAGGGAGTGAAAGGTTGAAGGGGATTAGAAGAGAGAGAGTGAACCGGAGATAAACTCCGGTTCATTCTTTCATGGAGATTGGGT